TTTTTGCTTCTATTTATGTGGTGAATTACATTTATAGATTTGCATATGTTGAACCATCCCTGCATCTCTGGGATGAAGCCCACTTGGTCGTGATGGATTATTCTCTTGATAAGGGTTTTCTATGTATAAGATCATGTCATCAGCAACCAGGGTCAATTTGACATCTCCCTTTACTGTTTAAATGCCATTTATTTTTTTCTATTGCCTGATTGCTCTCGAAAGGACTTTCAATTCTATGCAGAATGCACAATGATGAGAGTGGACATATTTGTCACGTTACAAATCTTAGACAAAATGCTTTCAGTTATTCACCATGAAGTATAATGTTTGCTGTGGCTTTATCATACATAAACTTTTTTATATTGAGGAACATTTCTTTCATACCTGATTTAGTGATAGCTTTTATCATGAAAGAATGGTGAATTTTGTTAAATGTTTTTTTCTACTTCTAATGCGATGATCATGTGCTTTCTGTTCTTTAGTATTTTAATGTTATGTATCACATTTATTGATTTGTTCATTATTCTCTTGATGTTATGCTTTGCATTTTTGCATCCCAGGGACGAATTCCACCTGTCCATGGTAATTGATCATTTTAATGTGTTATTAAATATAATTTTGTAATTTTTTTTGTTGGGGATTTTTACATCTATGTACATGAAAGATATTTGTTTCTAGTTTTGTTTTCTTTTGATGTCTTGCTCTGGCTTTGGTATCAGGGCCATACTAGCCTCATAAGAAGAATTTGGAATTATTCCTTCCTCTGTAAATTTTTGGAAAGGCTTGGGGATAATTGGCATTATTTCTTCTTTAAATATTGGGGAGAATTAAACAGTTAAGTCTTCAGTTTCTTAACCTTTGTATTTGTATGCTATGAGTTTTAATATATCTTCTTTCATTTTTCATTTTGTTTACTTGCGTCTTCTCTCTTTTTTCTTTTAGTATAGCTAAAAGCTTGAAGATTTGTTTATTTTCCAAGAAAACAACTTCAATTAGTTGAATTTTGCATTGGTTTTCTACTCTCTATTCATTTATTCCTCCCCTCACCTTTGTTATTTCTTTTTTCTTATAACTCTTGATTTATTTGTTCTTCTTTTTCCAGTTCGTTTGGGAGTAATGTTAAATTTTTTATTTGAGATATTTCTTCTTATTTGATGTACACATTTTTTTTATTCCAGGCTTTTGTGAGGGTACAAACATTATAGTCCCACTTTATGTCTTTACCTCACCCAAATGCGGGTTAAAGTCATGCCCTTCCCTCCCTTTAGTGCTCCCCGTGTCCTTTAGTTGTAGATTTGCCCCCCCATCCCCCTAATCCCTAGAGAGTATTTCTGCCATGTGATCAACCTAGTGTTGATCAGTTAGTACCAATTTGATGGCAAGTACAAATGGATCCCGTTCTTCTGCTCTTGTGCTGCCCCACTTTGGATAATGGGCTTAAGTTTAATCCAGGAAAGTATAAGAGGTGCTAGATCACTGTCGTTTCTTATGATTGAGTAATATTCCATTGTAAACATATACCAAATTTTGATAATCCACTCATGGATTGATGGGCACTTGGGTTGTTTCCACATTCTTGCAATAGTGAATTGTGCTGCCATAAACATTCGGGTGCAGATGTCTTTATCGTAGAATGTTTTGTGCTCTTTTGGGTAGATGCCTAATAGTGCTATTGCTGGATCAAATGGTATTCCTATTTTTAGCTCTCTGAGGTATCTCCAAATTCTTTTCCACAGAGGATGCACTAATTTGCAGTCCCACCAGCAGTGTAAAAGTGTTCCTGTCTCTCCACATCCTCGCCAACATTTGTTGTTTTGTGTTTTTTTTGATAGAGGCCAATCTCACCGGGGTTATGTGTGAAACACAAATAATTCTAAGGGGACAGTTTACAGCAGTAAATGTGTACCTCAAGGGCTGCACTGATGTACACATTCATTGCTGTAAACTGTCCCCTTAGAATTATTTGTGTATCACATATGTGTTGGTATGTTGTATTTCCCTTTTCATTTGTCTGACAATATTTTAAAACCTTGTTTCATTGATTTGTTGACATTCATTATTCAAAAGTATATTGTTTAAGTTCTGAATAAATGTTATGAATTTTCCAAAATCCCTACTGTTATTGACTTCTAATAATATACAATCATTGTCAAAAATGGTGCTTGATATATATTTTTTTATTTCAGCATATTATTATGTTTAGGTTATGTATGTTGCCCTCACCCCCCCAAGTTCGAGCTTCAAACATGTCCATCCCCCGGATGGTGTGCATTGCAATAATTTTAATCTAAAATTTTTTAAGTTTTTTTTTTGTATTTCCATATGGTCTATTCTAGAAAATATTCTACGTGCATTTTAGAATAATATGTATTCCTTTGCTGCTGAATGGAATGCTCTGTACATGTTTCATAGCTCAATTTGGTCTGATGCGCTGTTAGAATCCAATGTTATCTTACTGATTTTCTGCATAGATGATCTATCTATTGTTGAAAATGGAGTATTAAGGTCCCCTACTATTGTTATCATTGTAATCTATCTTTCCCTTCAGATCTTTTAATATTTGTTTTATATATTTAGTTGCTTCATTTTTTGGTGAACATATATTTACAAATGTTATATTCTTTTGATGAATTAACCCCTTTATCATTACAATGTCTTTCTTTTTCTCTTTTTACAGTTTTTAAGTTAAAGCCTTTTTTTCTTGATGTAAGTATTGCTACTTCCACACTCTTTGTTTCCGTTTGTGTGGAATAACTTTTTCTATCTCTTAACTTTCAGTCTATGTGTGTTCTTAAAAGTGAAATATCTCTTGTAGGCAGTACATAGTCGGGTATCATATTTTTATCCATTCATTTTCTCTATGTTTTTTATTAGAAATGTAACACATTTATATTCAAGGTAATTATTGATACCTAATGACTTACTACTCCCATTTTATTCATTGTTTTCTGTTTGTTTTATTGATGACTTCTTACTTTCTTATATTCTTGTTGTCATCTTCTGTGGTTTGGTGGTTTTGTATGGTGATAAACTTTGAATATTTTCTATTTCTTTTTTGTGCATATATTGAACATTTTTTATTTTGATTATCATGAGGGTTACCTAAAACATAATAATATCTTTCAAGCTGATGACAATTTAACTTTGATCTCCACCACCAATGAGGTGAGAGGAAGAGCAAGGCAGTTCATGGTTAGGTTGTGGGAGTCTGATAGGCTTTGCAAAGCCTCAGCAATGCTCAGAAGCTGATTTTCCACTACTAGAGGGAGCCAGTGGTAGGATAATCAGGGCAAGCTCTACAAACTGGGAGAGCTGTTCACTGGGGAGTAGACTAAATGCTTGTATGCTAAGGCCCTGGGCCTGGGTTCTTTACTCCCTTATCTGGTAGCAAAGTTTTTCTGTGGGGAGGGGTAGGCACTTCCCCAAATGACAACTCCTTGGTCTCCCCCACACCCTGTAAATTTGAGTCAGTAAATGCTGCAAAGGGTGTGATGTTGACCTTCCTCTCAGGAAAAGTTGCTTGCTGGAAGGAACAAGCTGAAATGTTATTTTTGGGTCTGTGACTGGTTTTCATCATTCAGGAGAAGCATTTGAATGCCCGAGGTGGTGGGTGTGGCCCTGGAACTTCCAGGTGAGTCCTTATTCTCTGCCCACCCACCCACAGCAGAGGTGGATGGTGGAATGTGGCTGAGTGGGGCTGGGTTGGGCGGGCTTAACCTCCCCTCTTAAAGCTTGGGGTATACAAGTACTCCACCTATGGGACCAGAGTCTACCATGGACACAAAACAACATCTCAGCCCCTGGCTTTATCACACACATATCAACCAATGACAGGGAGAAAAATATTAATGCTCATCACAGCATCTTCCAACTCAGGTAAACAGGGTATGGCTAATTAACTCTCACATGTACTGCCTATAATCACCAAGAGCAAGCTGGGATCTCACTACACAGTGTTAGGAAGAGGTGAAGACAGTAGGACAGAGGTAACCCAAGAGGTATACCAAACCTTCTAGATCACCCCATAGTAAACTCAGGACCAGCACTCATCTCCCTGGCATGCTGAGAAAGCAATCTTCAGGGACCCAGAGACAGGCTTCTAAGCCAGGCCTACCATGAGCAAGTCTCAACCAAGAGGCCAGATGTGAAGGAATCAGCAAATGAACCACACAAACATAAAAATTAGAGTGAAAGGACACCCCCAAAAGAAAACAATAACTCCTTACCAATGGATACCAACCAAAATTAAAAGATTGAAATGACAGATGAAGAGTTCCAAATATGGAATATAAGGTTTCTCAGTGAAATAAAAGAGAAAAAATAGAAACCCAACACAAAGAAATCATGAAAACAATGAAGGAAATTAATGAAAAATTTACCAAGGAAATCAAATTACCAAAAAGTCACGGAAATTAAACAATCTATTGTTGACTAACTATTGGGTCAAGGAGGAAATACGGAGGGAAATCAAGAGTTTCTTCAAACTAAATGATAATGGAGAAATAAGTTACCAAAACCTGTGGGATACAGCAAAAGCATACCTGAGAGGAAAACTAATAGCAATAAATGCTCACATCAAAAAACAGAAAGCTTAGAAATTGACAACCTAATAAATAGACTCAAGGAGCTGGAAAAGGAAGAGAAAATCAATTCCAATCCTAGTAGAAGAAAATAAATAACTAAGATCAAAGCAGAATTAAATGAAATTGAGAACAAGAGAATTATGTAGAAGATCAAAAAAAAACAAAATCTGGTTTTGCGAAAAGATAAACAAAATTGACATCTCTCTTGCTAGACTGACAAGAATTCAAAGGGAAAGAACTCTAATAAACTCAATTAGAAATGAAAAAGGAGAGGTCACAACAGACACCACAGAAATACAAAACATTATTTTTGATTACTATAAAAACCTATATGCCCCAAAACTACATAATGAGGAGGAAATGGACAAATTCCTGGAAACATACAACCTCCCCAAGTTCCCCCAAGAGATAATAGAATATCTGAATAGACCAATCTCAAGCTCAGAAATTGTAGCAGCAACTAAAAACCTCTCAAAACGTAAAAGTCCAAGACCAGATGACTACACTTCAGAGTTTTACCAAACATACAAAGAACTCATACCTATACTACAGAAACTATTCCACAACATTGAGAAAGATGGTATCTTTCCTAACTCATTCTATGAAGCCAATATCACCTTGATACCAAAGCAAGGAAAGGACACTACAAAAAAAGAAAACTACAGACCAAAAACCATCATGAATATAGACGCAAAAATCCTCAACAAAATTTTAGCAAATAGAATTCAGCAGCACATCAAAAAAATAATTCACCATGTCCAGGTGGGCTTTATTCCAGGGATGTAAGGCTGGTTCAACATAGGAAAACCTATAAACACAATTCACCTCATAAATAAAAGCAAGAACAAAGACCATATGATTCTCTCAATCAATGCAGAAAAAGCACTTGACAAAGTCCAACACACCTTTATGATAAAAACTCTCAACAAAATAGGCATAGACAGCTCATACCTTAAAATTATCCAGTCCATTTATGATAAACCCATAGCCAATGTAATACTGAATGGAGAAAAATTGAAACCATTTCCACTTGGACCTGGAACCAGACAAGGTTGCCCACTCTCTACACTTCTATTCAACATAGTGCTCGAAATCCTCACTACAGCAATTAGACAAGAGAGCGGCATTAAGGGCATCCAAATGGGGGCAGATGAGATCAAACTCTTACTCTTAGCCGATGATATGATATTTTATCTAGAAAACCCAAAGGATTCAACCAAGAGACTCCTGGAATTGATAAATGAATTCAGTAAAGCCTCAGGATACAAAATCAATACACACAAATCAGAGGCATTCATATACGACAATAACAGTCAAGCCGAAATTCAAATAAAAAATGCAATACCTTTTACAATAGTCTCAAAAAAAATAAAATATCTAGAAATATATTTAAAGAAAGATGTGAGAGACATATGCAGGGAGAAATATGAAACACTAAGAAAAGAAATTGTAGAAGATGTAAACAGATGGAAAAAAATCTACCTTGCTCATGGATTGGTAGAATCAATATCGTTAAAATGCCCATGCTACCTAAAATGATCTGCAGAATTAATGCAATACTTATCAAAGTACCATCATCATTCTTTACATATCTAGAAAAAAATAATTCTGTGCTTTGTATGAAGCCAGAAAAGACCTCGTATAGCCAAAGCAATCTTAAGTAAAAAGAACAAACTGGGAGGTATCAGTCTACCAGACTTCAAGCTGTACTACAAGGCTATAATAACTAAAATAGCATGGTACTGGCACAAGAACAGAGACATAGACCTTTGGAATGGGACTGAGAATCCAGGGATGAAACCATCTGCATATGGTAATCTAATCTTTGACAAAGCAGACAAATATATACACTGCGGAAAAGAATCTCTTTTCAATAAATGGTGCTGGGAAAACTGGATAGCTACATGCAGAAGAATGAAACTGGATCCCCATTTCTCACCTCTCATAAAAATCAATACAAGATGGATAACAGACTTAAACCTAAGGCATGAAACCTTAAGAATTCTAGAAGACGATGTCGGGAAGACCCTTTCAGACATCTGCCTAAGAAAGAATTTTTGAAGAAGACCCCCAAATCAGTCACCACAGCAACAAAAATAAATAAATGGGATCTGATCTAATTAAAAATCTTTTGCACTTGCAAGGAAACTATCATTAGAGCTAATAGACAGCTTACAAAATGGGAGAAAATGTTTGCTCTCTACACATCCGATAAAGGACTGATAACTAGAATCTATCCAGAACTTAAAAAAATCAACAAGAAAGAATCAAACAACCCCATCAACAAATGGGCAAAGGAAATGAGCAGAAACTTCTCAAAAGAAGACAGAGTAATGGCCAGCAAACATATAAAAAATGCTCAACATCTCTAATCATTAGAGAAATGCAAATCAAAACCACAATGAGATTATCACCTGACCTCAATGAGTTTGGCCTCTATCAAAAAATCCCC